GAATATATATTTTATTAAATAATGTGTTTTAAAAACTAAAATGTACTTACTTTTTAAAGAAAATATTAACTATTACCATTATTATTTAAATATTTTATTAAATAAAATGGATCATATTAACTCTATACCTAACGCACATGATTGACTGTACACGCATGTGGTTTCTTATTAAAAAATAAATAATATTATATATTATATTTGAGTATGTATTGAGGTACTGAAAAAACTGAAAAGAAAACCCTCAAAATATGAATTATCAAGCCCAGTATAAGCCTGATCTGATCAGATGTTTAAGAACAGATTTTTTTTTCAGACTTCAGAAGTCCAGAGTAGAACCAACTTCCAAACAAATGTAATATTTATTTTCTAAAAAAAGAAATAAAGTTGCATCTAAATAGCCACATAGGGAAACATTATCAGATCAGTTTTGCTTTAATTAGATTAATTAGAGTAAATGAGAAGTAGTGAGTGTTAAACCGTAGGATTATGTTGCTTTCACAGTTCAGCTGGAGTGTACAACATGCTGATTTGTTCAAATGAGTATTTATATAGTTGTTTTGATGTTCCATGTCGCAGAACGTAAAGTAATGGCTGTTCTAGTGCACTCAGTGCTTCTAATTAAATAGAGTTCATTAGGAAATGAAACTCTAACTGCATTAAAATTTAATCAGGTTGGTTCGCCATAAACAGAATTGGATTTAAAAAGCAAAACACAGCTGATGGCGGCACTGAGACATGACATCACTTTTTACATGTCTTGATTAATTTAAAAGAACACAGTGCAGGTCATTTGCACGTTAATATACTTTGCATTTATTACAGAATCACTGCGCAGATGAGTACATCCGTAATCTGTGATGTAGTACAGGATTTTTAATAAATGCTGCACAAAAACATCATCACCAATGACAAGAACATCTAATGAAGGAAATATGCAAGACCTCAAAAATTGCAAAAAATACACTGAAGAAATTTCTAAGCACATAGATGCCTGTATCATGATACAGTCTTCAGATTCATGTAGGAACTTGTGAGTACTATGCAGTGAGTCTTTCTCTCATACATGTCTTTGCACGTTCTCCTGACTATACGATCTGTGAAGCAATGCTAAACTATGCTGTATTGGACATCAGAGACTACAGCCTAAATGCATAAAGGATGTGCATGCAAATGATAGTTCAACTAATATTATTGCATTTTATTATACTACACACACACACACACACACACAAAACAAATCTAAATTCAAAGGAATAGTTCACCCAAAGATTACTTAACATTTACTCACCCTCAGGCTATTAAAGTTGTAGAGTTTGTTTCTTTATCGGAACAGATTTGGAGAAATTTTGTATTACATCACTTGCTAATCGATGAATCAAAAAGTTCTAAAGCAAAAAGTTCTGTGTTTGTAAGAAACAAATCCATCAAAACATTTTTAACTTTAAAACATTGCTTCTGGCTAAAATCTGAGTTCTCTATATTGCTTTCTCCAGTGAAAAAGTTGCCTTGTCTGAATTAGGAGAGAAATATGCTCAGACCAAACAATGTTTACAAGCGAAAACAGTCCAAAACAAATATGACAGTGGATTTTTTTTGTGCGCAGACAAGGCTTTTTACTTTCCAAAACATGAATTGAAGGATTGGAGTCGTGTGGATTACTGTGATGTTTTTATCAGTTGCTTGAACTCTCATTCTGACGGCACCCATTCACTGCAGAGAATCCGTTGATGAGCAAGTGATGTAATGCAACATTTCTCCAAATCTATACGATGAAGAAACAAACTTGCATTATACATACACACACATGTACACACACACACATATATATATATATATATATATATATATACGAGGGTGATTAAATTGTAAGTAAAATTTCTATTTTTGGGTGAACTATTCCTTTAAACTTTATAAAATACTGAATGTTATATAGACACACTGATCACAGATGTTTGGATGTCATTGAGCAGCATTGAGAGTGCTGGATATGATGACACATCATCTTGAGAACAATTAGTGTTGTTTATGAGATGTGTGGGCAATGATGAGGTCCTAAATGGCATGAGCTTTCCCCTGATGAACAACATGTTAAAGTAAGACTGTAAGGGGACTTCCCTATGGTGGGAGTTCTCCCAGCGCTGACAGTCTTCTTAACAATACACAACCAGAAAAAAAATACAGGGGGAAATGCACAGTTAGTCATAAGAATATTTCATATACATAACGTGATAAATCATATGCATATGCCATTTTAAATGACATATTTTTAGACTATTTCATTAATTAATCTTTATTATGCTAGTATCGTAAATAATGTGAATGTGTGAAGTGACATGTGACATGTGGCCAAGTATGGTGACCCATACTAGGAATTAGTGCTCTGCATTTACCCATCCAAAGTGCAAAGTGCCAGCAGTGAACACACACCGTGAACACACACCCGGAGCAGTGGGCAGCCGTACGAGACTCGAACCCACAACCTTTGGGTTATGAGTCCGACTCTCTAACCATTAGGCCACGACATAAAACATCTAATTAGTATTTCATATATTTATATTATATACTTATAATGAGTGGTTACTAAAAGTTACTGTTTATATATAGACTAAGTTAAAACACACTGAAGTAACGAACCAAAAATATCAGCATCTTGAATTACTGTTAATCTCTCCTCTTTCTTTTTAAGACATGGAGACGTTCAGCTCCAAGGACATGGCGCTCAAGGCCCAGAAAAAGATCCTGAGCCAAATGGCCACCAAGTCTGTGGTGCAGATGTTCATCGATGATACCAGCAGCGAGATTCTAGATGAGCTTTACCGTGTGTCAAAAGAGTACACTGGGAACCGCTCAGAGGCCCAGAAAGTGGTGAAGGACCTCATTAAAGTGGTGGTGAAGATAGCTGTCCTTTTCAGGCACAATCGATTCAATGAGGAGGAGCTAAAGCTGGCCCAGAATTTCCAAAAGAAATTGCATCAGGGAGCCATGACAGCCATCAGCTTCCACGAGGTACACAACACACGCATCTAACACCTTTAAGCAGTATATTCTGAATTTATGCTCTCTGTTTCATTAAATTCAGGCAAGGTTGATTTATTACATTTTGAACTATGGGGATATTTGATATTTGTGACACTGCATAAGGTAAAGGCAGCTTTATCACGTTTTGACAGTGTGCTGCTTAACAGATTTACCAAGAAAAATATTTAATATTTTATTATTAAAACAAAAAAAGTTAGTGACCTCTGACTGTATATTGTTAACCTACTTTGACCACTGAGAACATCTGTGAAATTACTAAAGTAAAGTAAAGTAATAAAATAAAATAAAAAATTGGGGGGAAAAAAAACATTTTGCACATTTTTTTTTTTTTTTTTTTTCAATTTTCAGTCATGTCTTCTGGCACAGTAAGAATATTCATAAAATTAAAAATAATAATAAAATAAATAAAAATATAATGGAGAAATTGCACAAAAACGCTTTTTGCCCATTTTTAGTCACATTATTTAAAACATTTCTTCCATTTGTTTTATTAATATAAATGTAATTATTTCTAATTATTTTATTTTTATTGTTTAATTAACAAATGTAGTAATCTAAGTATTTTTTAAGGATTTATTTTTAAGGATTTATGTAAGCATTTCTTTGACACTTTGATACTTTTCCTTTACAAAATCACAATCTGTTTGTTATTTGTCAATTGAGCATTGCATCCAACTTTCAACAAAGCAAGTGATGTGGTCCTAAATACAGCCTTATTCGTAACCAGATTTGTACCTTATCCCAACAAAAGTCTCTTCTTTCCATTTACAGGTAGATTTCACATTTGACAAAGCAGTTATGTCAGCGATCCTGAAAGAAAGTAGGGACATGCTTCTGAAGCTTGTAAACACTCACCTCACACCAAAATCCCACGGACGCATCAACCACGTCTTCAACCATTACGCTGACCCTGAGCTCCTCACCCAGCTTTACAACCCATCCGGGTCTCTCAAACCCCACCTCACCAAAATCTGCAACGGGCTTAACAAACTGCTGGAGGACGGGACGTTATGAGGACGGCGAAGCACTGAAAGACTTTTACAGGACTGGCATGGAGGACCACTCGTTATCTCAGACTGCATACAATGTAACCAAAGAGGCAGAAAGTGACTGACCGAAAGCATCGCACTTCAATTCAACCTTTGAAATAGTGTTGCTGGGCTGTTTTTAATGAATATTAGATCAATCAGTGGCCTGATATTGTTAACACAGCCACTGTTACTGCCAGAGCGAGCTCAGATCAAATATAAAAATATCATCGGAACAATTTTTTAAAGCTCTGGGACTCCAGCTGCGTCGGATAGCAGTTTTCTAGACTACTTATTTTTCAATAATGATGTTTAAACCACTGGGGTTCAGCTACTCTGCTGTAAATTAGAGCACATTGTATTGTTCAGAACTCTTAATATTTTTGAGCTGATTATTTACCTCCCAGGACAACGAAATAACAAGAAGCAGAAAAACACAAACTCATTTACTAAGGCATTCTATTTACACTGCCATCTAGTGTTACATTGTGATTATGGCTATGATACAAATCTAAGCTTGGCACTACACAGTCAATGACTATATTTTGACATGAACAGCCCTGAGGGGAATCTGCTGTTCTAAAAGAGAACAACCACTAAATAAATATTTCCTTACAGCCCTTATGTAATTTGCTTATAGTGTTGCAACACACTAATGTTCAAAAGTTTGGGATCAGTAAGATTTGATCAGTGACAAACAAATATATATTTATAATGTTTCAAAAGATTTATTTCTCAAATAAATGCTGTTCTGTTAAGCTTTGTGTTAAAAATCCTGAAAAAATATAAGGTTTTCAAAATTGATATTAATACGAAATGTTACTCAAGCACTAAATCAGCTTATTAGAATGATTTCTGAAAAATCATGCGACACTGAAGACTGCTGAAAATTCTGATTTGTCATCACAGGAATTAATTACATTTTAAAATATATTAAAATAGAAAACGTTTTTTTTTATATTTAATATTACACAATATTACTGTTTTTACTGTAAGCCATGTTTTTGCATTGGGCTAATTTGACATAGCATTGTATGTCCATAAATAATTTGTATTTATTACAAAAGCAAAAAGATTATATTTTATCGTCTGGAGAACTTTCATATTCATAATACACACCCTAATGCTTTGTATGAACATGCAGTTCATTTATTCCAGGTTAGAAATGCACATGATTGAAGGAATATATTAGTGCAATTCAGTTGTGCCGAACACAATACATGTTTTAGTTACATGTTGCAACTTAGTTCATCTTTTGTTACTCTTTGCCATTGATTATCACTCAAGATTTCAATGTTAAAAGACCAAGATCTGTAAGTGTTTATGGCATTTAATTTGTGCATTTTATGCTGCATTCATATCACTGATGCAAAACACGAACCAGTCCAGGAAACGAGACTTCTTTATCGAAGGCTTTATCATGTTTTGGTAACCACAAAGGCCATTAGACACTTTAGCACAATGTAAACCAAACAGAAAAACACCAAACCAAACATGTGACTGCAGTGCAAAACCATGCATTGTGTTCACCAGCTTGACAGGTCACTATCTGAAAGATGTCCAGTGGCACATTCCCAAAGCATATACTTTTCAGTTTTCTAAAACTATAAAAGTGTTTCTAGCAAGTATTTGTGAGGTAGTATTAAAATCAATATTAATTAGCAAGTGCTAGATTCCTAATTAGTTCTTCCATTTAAATGCAGTCATCTATGTCACACGCAAAACTGTCTGTCATTACTTTGGTTATGCTCATATGAAATACAGCAGAATTATAATTCACATTATTGCCTTACTTTTAGGCATCAAGCTACAGTGCTTTTACAGTGCTAATATGTGTCTAAAGCTGGAAGTAGTTTTATGAAAAAAAACTATTGCAAATCACACCAGCAATCTCCACATTATTAAGGCATGAAACCCAATTAAGGAGCCCTCTAAAACAATCAACTTGTACAAATAACACAGAAAACAGTCAGAGGAGTCCTAATAAATGCCTACATCAGAGCTGGAAGATCTCATCCTCCCTATCCCTCAAATTCCTGGTCCGTCTGGTGATTGTAATGGGAACTGCTCCCAAAATGGCCTGCTGGTAGGATGCTGTGTCAGACGTCAGATTGCTGTGATGGAGTTGCTCCATAGATGAAAACCTTTAAATGCAAAGTGAATGTTTTAAGTGATTTCATTACTGGACAAGTTATGCTATAAGAATGAAAATGAGCTTTTGTAATTGATTGATTACAGGTGGATAATATATTTCCAAATATGTTTGTACACCGTATCAAATGGTTTTTTCGAAGTTGTGAATAAAACAAAGATTATTGGAGTCAGTTTTACAAGAATACTTTGTCAGTTTTTCTACTTCAAAATGTCATGTTTAATTCAATGTGTAACTTGCCATTTCTTTGTAAATATTTGTAAGATTTATTAGCAATTTCTGTTTATAAATTGCTTCAATTAAAGGGGCATTCACACCAAGAACGATAACTATAAAGCAGCGGTATCCAAGGTACAGATTCGATGTTGTGGACACATCTGGGGGCCGGACACTATATATAATATTTGAGACTAACATTTGAGACCAGTGGCACCAGCAATATTAATAATATTACATGTTTTGTCTCTTGGACAGTAGCTTGAGTTGATGGTAACAGTAGCTTGAGTTGGGATGCAGATTTAGTAATTTTTTTTTTCATTAACACAATCAGTAACATCTGTATTTAATTATGTTAAATATAAATATTCTTACTGAGGTAGAAGAACTCTAATCTCATTAAAGGGGTCATGAACTGTCTTTGTTTTTATTGTGTACTGTTCTCTGAGGTCCACTTATAATGTTATCAAGATTTTTACATCAAAAAACATAATTTAGAAGTAATAAGCTATTTTCTGTCTTGTTTTTAACCCCCCTCATCAGAACGCTCTGTTTGAACAGGCGTGGCGGATTGTAGACTCGGAAGTAAACGCCCAATGCTATGATTGGCTAACAGTTGTGTAAGTTTGACAGCGTACATTCCTCATAGATGGACGCTGCTGTGATTTAGGTCAAAAACGCATAACTCAATACATATCAAACAATCTGTAATAACAGACAAAGCAAAAGTGACCACGTAATAAAAACAGTTACACTTGTGTGTTGCGACATTACTCTCGGATCCAATATATTCAGCACAGCATCGTCTTTTAGTTTCAATCTTTTTGAAAATCCCATGTCGAATTGTGCCTTGTTTGTAAACAAATCCGCTGTAAAATTAAGTGAACGAAGGACGAATTCTTGCTGACACAGTCTGGATCTTCATTAAAAATAAAGTTCATCCCCTTTCCTAACGTTGGGAGCAGAAGGAAGGCAAAGCAAAGACTATCTTTTCACAACTTGGCACTGCACAGAGTCTTCTTGTCTTCAGAGCCATCTTTATCATTTGGCTTCTATGTAGACCTGCGTTCGCCTCTCTCTTTATTTACACTACATGCGCAAATCGGTGGGCGGGGCTAAACAGACAGCGAATTAGAAACAGGTGTTGATCTTCTTCTGCAGAGACGGTGTTTACCGACATTATTACATCATAGAGTGGTACATTCCAAAGCCTGTCATTTTGGCAGACTAGCTTCAATATAAGCTGTTTTTAGACTAACAAGAAAGTTCTGAGTTCTGAAACTTACAGGATGTTTTATAGTACACGGACCTCTTATATGTCAAAAGATCAAGGCAATTTTGTTTTCTCAGTTCATGACCCCTTTAAAATTAACGTTTGGTCTTCCACAGTATCATACACCTAGATCATGATAGCCACAGGTAAAACCACATATTTTATTTATTTATTTATTTAGTCATTTAGCAGACGCTTTTATCCAAAGCGACTTACAAATGAGCACATATAGCACCACCATTAAATTAGTTTAACTCCCCACGACATTTGTGCTCTTTTCAATTTAGGACTAACTATATCTAAATCGTTGTAGTACCGTCCTTGGTGTGAATGGGCCTTAAACACTACACAATTTTTTTTTTCAGTGTAATGAATCAGCTGATGTTCACTGTAACCTCTCCCGAATCATATGACTCATGGTTCTTCCATTGAACTGAAACTTGCTAAACAACTCAGCTGACAGCAAACAAAAGGACTGCAATAAATGAACTCCAATACCCTAACAATAATGACAGCAGTCATAATTTCATTCTGACAACTTACTGTTTCTCTCCCTCCTGGCAGGTCTTCACAGCTGCTTGTTTGGACTGACTGATCAAGCTGTCCATCTTTTTCAGGTATTCCACTGGTGACAGATCAGCATTAGCTTCGCATCTAGAGTCTGTTTGGCTTTTGGGGATCTCATTAGAAATCTCAGTGTGTATTTGTGTTGGACTTGTCTCGTCCTCGGTCAATTCCACTCCATTTGTGAAAGACACAGACTCTGTCAGCACAGGGATGAAGAGGGACTCCTTCAGGAATATTGAATCATTTGTGTACAGTCTGTTTGCCCTTTTGATTTGCTCCATCTGTAAAGACAGAAAAAATAAGTTGAACGTACATTATGTAATAATTAAGTAATTACCTCCAATCAAAGGTAAAAGGTCAAATTCCTCAAATACCTGCTTTCTGTTTACTTACAGACACGCCATATTTCAGTGATAGTCCTTGCAAGGTCTCACCGGGCTGGACCTTATGCTCAATTCGTCTTTGTCTAACGGGTGATAATGAAGAGGACACCAGGCTGCCGTAGGACCGGGTTCGCTGGCCGCGTAGGAGGCCGTGAGTCCCGGCCAGTGAGGCTGAGTGATCCGCAGACATGACCTGAGCTCCAGCGTTTGTCTAATAATGATTTAAGATGAACTTCAGCTTTCCTTCTGCGGCTGCTGAACGCATGACGGCAGGACTAACGTTAAACATAACAGCTTCTGTTATGAGTCAAATTAACGAGAGAAATAAAGTCAGCAGCAAAAAGCAAACAATCTCTGATTTAATAATCACGCTCTTAGAATAATCTGCTCAGCGAACGACATTACGAACCGAAATAAACGTTTTAACGCTATTTAACCAGTAGATAAATCACACTGTGAGAAATAATAATTCGGTCCTACGCAGACACACTGAGGTTTTAAAATGTTTAACTTGTTAACTGCTCGAACATCGCTAAAATAACAGTGGCGCCCCAAAAATGAACAATTCAGATATGAAATAATATATCAACCATATAAATAGTAGAGAAATATTACCGGTGCCCTTTACATTTTAAGTTCAGACAGTCTTAAAACGTATTTGTCCCAAGACCAAGATTAGCTTAGCCTCTGTTGCCATGGCGTCAGCTAAGTTAATGTAAGATCCGCCCAGTGTCCGACTCATTTCATCGAATCGATTCTTTCGGACAATTAATTGGTTAAAAATTATTAATCAGTTCTTTTACGTCATTATGTGGTTTCTGCGGTTTTACATGCCTTGAACACGAATAAAGCTTATTTCAAGACGAAAATTATTTAAAAAAAAAGAAAAGAAAAGAGAGAGATAAAAAGAGTGGTCTAGCTTTAAATGGATCAGTCCGATCGTCAGACTCGATTCGTTCATGAATCAGACATCACTACCCATAATTCCAGAGACCAAAACAGGAAGAAAGGGATGTCTTTAGTAAGCCTGCTTATCGGTGAGAGTGAAATAAGAAATTAGTTGCGTTAATACCTGAAAGAATAAGACTGCAGGTGGCCAAACATGTCTTTCAAAAGGGAGGGTGATGATCAAAGTCAGCTAAATGTACTGAAGGTATAATAAAACAGCAAGCAGACTGTGTTATTTGTACGCATGCACCAGTCCCTTTTCCCTTTTCTCACTGTTTTTCTCTCGTTCTTTTACAAGAAACGACGCGTTGCAGATCTTCTGTCTAACTTCATCCCAGATGATGAAGCTACTCTGATGAAAAACGGAAGGTGATTATTTCATTCCTGGTTTGGATTGCAGATGAAGTCAGTGTCTGACCCATTCCCATTCACTAAGGAATGTGTTATCCCCCACTGTAGACACAGCTGCCTTGTGTGTTCTCACCGTCCTGTGCTTGACACTGTTGATATGCTCATGGTGCACAGGAAGGGAAAGCGACACCTTGAAGGTGAGATTCTACCTATGCATTTACTCAGCATCTCTATAAACCAGCATTCAGTTTTTAAGTCCTCTTTGGTCTATTAATTTGTAGGAATGAAATGGTTCTACGGCAAAAGGAATCAGTTTAAACATGAAATAGATAAAAGGCGACATCAAGATTATGTTAAAGCAGAAGATGAGCGACAGGTAACTGGATTAATTTTCTTCAACCAGTTTATTAATCAGTAAAATTCAAAAGTCCATCTAACTTTTTTTCATTACACCATTTTATCATCATATCATATTATTATTTGTATAACAATGAAAGTGAAAATTTCGAATTGTCTTTAAATTGTAACTTATTTGGCCAAAACAGTGCAGCATCTTAAATATTTATTCTTCATTTTACATCATAATTACATCTCTTACATAATTTTACATCATAATATTTCTTTATTTTAATATTTTCTAATTTTATATTGCAAGGATTTCAATCAGATTTTTAGTGCACTCTCACACTTTAAGACCTCACAGTACATACATGTATAATAAGGTCATATTATTTTATTACATTATTACAATATTACATTGTTACTTGTCCCCAGGAACCCTCCAGTTCAGCTCCTCTTCTGAGTCAAACACGTAAAATTACCCATCATGCCCTACTCAGAACTGCTTCTTACAGTAGCTGCCACAGAAAGGCCAGGTAATGTCTGTTAGCTGAACCATCTACTGTCATATGTCTGAATTTTTTTATAAAGTCCTCACTAGGCTGTTTGTGTCTTTTTAGTTTCATTGATTAATTAATTTATTTTTTTGCACATTTATTTGATCTATTTCTACATTCATGAAGTGAACGATTGGAATCGTCAGGATGTGGCCAAGAAGACAGACAAGATCAAATCAACAATATCAACTCATCAACTCATTTGTCCATTAGGACAGGAAGTATTGACTCCATATCAACAAATAGCACAAACGGTACAACAAATATCTATTAATTTGAAGGCAGTAGACATTTTGTGCTTATATTCTTTTAATCTTCCATGTGCATTGTGTTAATTGTCATTTGTAGTGCATCAGGGACAGACTCAAGGGAAAGAAGAGACAAAGAAGGGGAAGAAGGGATCCAGCACTAAGTGTGAGCCTATAACAGAGCAGAGATGCAAAGAACTGGAACACTACCTCAAATTAAAAAGGTATGACAACACTTGACACAGTGACTCACATTTATCTCACATTCTGACTATAGAACTGATGCTAACATCCAAATCGGTATTAAACGAATAGTTCACTCAAAAATGAACATTTGCTGAAAATGACTTGCCCTCTCAGGCCATCCAAGTAGATGAGATTTGGAGAAATTCAGCATTACATCACTTGCTCACAAATGGTTACCCTGCAGTGAATGGGTGCCGTCAGAATGAGAGTCCAAACAGCTGATAAACATCACAATAATCCATAAGTAATCCACACGACTCCATCTTGTGTAGTGAAAAGCTGCACTTTTGTAAGTAACAAATTCATCAGTAAGACATCTTTAACGAGAGAGAGATATGCACAGATCAAGCACCATTTACAAGCGGAAACAGTCCGAAACAGTTTTAAACTATATGTCTATGGATTTTGATGTGAGAGGACAACAGTGGATGTTTTCACTGGTGGATGTGTTATTGTGTATCATGGACTCGTATTGTGGCCAGAAGCAGTAGTTTAAATTTGTGCTGTCAAACGATTAATCGCATCCAAAATAAAAGTTTTTACATAATATATGTGTGTATACTGTGTATATTTATTATGTATATATATATAAATACAAATACATCCATGTATATATTTAAGAAAAATATGTCATGTTTATATATTAAATATATTTATATAACATTTAAGAATATAAATATATAAATGTATATACATGTCAATATTTTCAAAATATATACTGTATGTGTGTGTATTTATATATACATAATAAACATACACAGTACGCACATACATATATTATGTAAACAAAAACTTTCATTTTGGATGTGATTATTTGTGATTAATTGTTTGACAGCACTAGTTTAAATTGAAAACGCCTTAGTGATGAATTTGTTTCTTCAAAATCTCTTATTCTGATGGCACCCATTCACTGCAGAGCATCCACTGGTAAGCAAGTGATCTAATGCTAAATTTCTCCAAATCTGTTTTTGGTGAACAACAAATTCATCTATATCTTGAGGGTGTACACTATTCATTTAAAGGGGTCATATGATGCGATTTAAATTTTTCCTTTCTCTTTGGAGTGTGATCTCATCTGCAGCAGCCACATAGTAATCATTAAATAACTGTGTGCTTCTCATAGATTATCTCTCAATCTATTTTACTCCTTTTTTCTCACTTGTCTGTTCCAGTTCGGGATGGCTGCAGGACAGAAGTGGTAAATGGGTTAAAGATGAGAATGTTGAGTTTGACTCGGATGAAGAAGAACCGGATCAGTTACCTCCTAGCAGTGAATCTTCATAGCAGACTCAATACTGTTCAGCAACTGCCAAAAATGCTTCAGGATGCATTTAAACTGAACTGCATGTGAGATGATGATATTGTCTCGATAGGCACAACTCTCATATGACAGCTTTTACGTCCATGCCTCTGTGACCTACTTTATATACAATAAGGTCGAAACTTCCAAGACATTCTTTCTGGAAAAGAGTTTGCAAATTGTATTAGTACTATGTACTAGCCATCTTGTTGAAACAGTTTCTGAACTAACAATGTTATATTTCTATGTGAATAAAGTGAGGAGGTTGTGACCCCATTGTGTTGAATCACATGTGGAATATTTTCACTAATATCATTTTACTTTTAATGTCATAATGTTGGTTGTATGATGAAAGAGGTCCAAATCTGTTCCAAATAGAGAACGGAATGTGGAAGGCTGCTTCGTTCTGTAGATCGTTTGCCAAATGCCATTCGTTTTTCACATTCTGAAGCAGGCCTGTAAAGTTTAGACAGCCACCAAAATCAAAACCCCATATTAACTTACACGCCTGAAGTCACATCTGTAAAATAAAATAAAAAAGCTCCATGTATATATTTGTCTTTAAAAACGGCAATAATGGTAGTTAAGAGGTGACTCTTGAGAATCTTCATAGGTTAGCATCGGTTCCAAAGGGGAGCATAAATCTCCTAGAGGAAGGTGGTATATTTGGAGCTTTGTAACTCAAACCCATGAGACTGGGTTTCATGACTGGGTGGTTTGCAAGTAAAAATAGGTTAGTGGGGGGGGAGCAGGAAACCCTGCCATGGGATATTGAATAGTTCCATTTGTTTTGTTCCTCTGGGTTTGGGTCATCATATAATCAAAGTTATGACATGAATCATACATTATTTTATCTCCGTCCTCTATTAATTCAGTAATGCATCATTTAAATCTAACCTAAACTAATGAAGCTGTTTTGTACTGTAAGTCTGCTGAGAGCATCTGCTTTGAAATGACAGTATTTTCACTACTGTTCAAAAATATGGGGCCGGTAAGACTTTTTAAAAGTTGCTGAAATAAGTCCTCAGCAAAGCTGTATTTATTTGATTAAGAAATACAGTAAAAATGGTAATATTGTGAAGCTTTTTTTTTTTTTTTGATGGCAGAGCTGAGTTTTCAGTAATCATTCAATGTCACATGATCCTTCAGTAAACATTTTAATATGCAGATTTGGATTTTAAGAAAATGTTTCTTCTTTTTATCAAGGTTGAACATTTGCACTGCTTCCAAATTTGTGGAAACTGATGCGTTTTTCTATTTGATGAGCAATGTTCCAAAGAACAGAATCTATTTGCAACATTAGTTTTCTGTAACAATGTTTAAAAATGTATTTGCTGTTGTTTTTGATCAGTATAATGCATTCTTGCTGAATAAAATTACTTTAAAAAAAAACATTTGAATGGTACTGTATGTCAGTGTTTTGATAGTACAAACCTGTATTAAATGATGGTATTGTAATTGAATGAAAATTTGAAGTCTGATTATACAATATAGAATGTAGTATTTTATTTCAAATATTTACAAAAAACCTTTGCGGGAGCACCATATTACCAGAAAATGAACTGGGCAACTGGTGTCTTTTTCAAGTTTGCAGGTATTAAGGAGCAGGTCGATTTTATTAGATCAGAGCTTTTGATTTGATGAAATCCACAGAAAGCAATGAAGTCTTATCAAGCTGGCAATAATGATATCCACAATGGCCGATGGCGAATGGTAAAAACATATCATCTGTAGGGGTTGTTGTCCTGGCTGTTACTGGAGCATCTGTAAGACTCCAAGAGTGCACATGAAGAACTTTGATATCTCCTAAATGAACTAAACTGCATCCTCTTTTCATCTTACTCTCTGCTGACGAACTGGAGATGGGATAAATACAAAAAACATCAAGTTCAATGTAGCAACAAACACCAAAATGAATGAAAAAATGTACCTGTTTCAGCTACAGACAAGCACAAGCTGCAATATTTGAGAAAACAGTACGAGAATACACTCACGGATATCATTGTTTCTGGTGATGGCCATTGCGGCTCTTGCACGCGGGCCCTGCTGAATGAAGTGATAACCAATTTTTATGATGCTGGGGTTGTTCTCCAACATGGTTGCAATCTCCATCTCAACTGAGTCGCCCAGTTTCTGTCTCTGTGAGAACACACATGAAAAATTTCATTTTTAGTTTTAAACACATGCCATCAGATGTTTCTAGCAGGAGTGTTTTAGTCTCTTACTTGGTTGTCGATCTTAATCTCAGTCAGAGTGGAGTTTTCTCGCAGTGCCTTGATGATGGCCATCATGCCTTGTGCAGTAATGAAGTTGGACTCAATGTTGAGGCTCTGCAGGGTAGTGTTGGACTGTAACATCTCAGCTATAGCCTGACTCACAGGAACAGAGCAAGAGAAACAACTGACATCAGCTCTCCATCATTTCCACAATACATAATAGAGGAAAACAGAGTTGAAAAATGATTTTATGAAGAATATTAAGAATAACTATTGATTAGACAAAAGTTTGGGGTCGGTAAGATTTTTTTTGTGTTTCTGTCTCTTATGCTCACCAAGACTGCATCATTCAAAAATACAGTAATATATATATATATATATATATATATATATTAGCAGCCATTACAAACATTACTCCAGTGTCACATGATCCTTCTAACAGGCGGATTTGCACATTGTGTTTTGTCCAGATTCTTTGATGAAGATAAAGTAAAAAAAAAAAAAAAAAGCATTTATTTAAAGGGAACTGCCCCAGTGATGTGTAAATTTTTACACATTTCCTAAACATAAAGGTACAAAAAAAGATAACACTTTAGTACTGGGTCCAATTCTCACTATTAACAGTTGCTTATTGGCATGACTATTAACTGACATCAGCTCTCCATCATTTCCACAATACATAATAGAGGAAAACAGAGTTGAAAAATGATTTTATGAAGAATATTAAGAATAACTATTGATTAGACAAAAGTTTGGGGTCGGTAAGATTTTTTTTGTGTTTCTGTCTCTTATGCTCACCAAGACTGCATCATTCAAAAATACAGTAATATATATATATATATATATATATATATATTAGCAGCCATTACAAACATTACTCCAGTGTCACATGATCCTTCTAACAGGCGGATTTGCACATTGTGTTTTGTCCAGATTCTTTGATGAAGATAAAGTAAAAAAAAAAAAAAACAGCATTTATTTGAAATAGAAATCTTTTCTTGTCACTTTTGATCAATTTAAAGCATCCTTGCTGAAAAATGTATTAATTTTCTTTTTTTTTTAAATCTGACTCAAAACTTATGAACTTTAGTATACATAACTAAACAGAAAGTTTAGATAAAATCTAACAAAAAGAAGCTCCATGGTTTGAATCTATAAAATATATGAAAGTGACGTGACATGTGGCCTAGTATGGTGACCCATACTAGGAATTAGTGCTCTGCATTTATCCCATCCTAAGTGCACACACACAGCAGTGAACACACACACCGTGAACTCACACCCGGAGCAGTGGGCAACCATTTTTGCTGCGGCGCCCGGGGAGCAGTTGAGGGTTCGGTGCCTTGCTCAAGGGCACTTCAGTCGTGGTATTGAAGGTGGAAGAGAGTGCTGTACATTCACTCCCCCCACCTACAATCCCTGCCGGTACGAGACTCGAACCCGCAACCTTTGTGTTACGAGTCCGACTCTCTAACCATTAGGCCACGACTTCATAATAGTAAAAATATAGTTTTACTATTATGTACAGCATTTACTAAACTTTACATAGGATAAGATTTTAGATTTTATTTGATCAAGACAAACTTCTACACATTTAGCAATATATCTTCAGACTTGTATGTAGAAACATATGAGATTGAAGCAAAGAAGCAATGAATGAATGAATGAAACATCAAAAACACAGGCTTCAGGACTTGCATAGGCCACGGGGTCATTACTGCGTGTCCCAGCGATGCTGAGGCTTAACACGTGTGTGTTACTCTTCATAGCCTCAAAAATCGCTTTCAGGGTTGGGATGGGAATGTCCTACAGCAACACAAACAGTCATTACTACCCCATTCTGCTCATGCACAGAAATTCATCAATTCTTATGATTAATTATGATAATTAATCAGATGCCTGCAAGAAAACAAATACTAGAAAGTGTAATTAGGTAATCTGTTTATAATATTAATATTATGTCTAGTCTGTAATGTGATCATAATTACGCTGATTGAGGTGTGTGTACAGTTGTCATGTTTACCGGGATGTTGTTGAGGTTGACCTCTGTCTGCCTATTGTCATTTTTCTGGATGCAGCGGAGAGCGTCCTCCACATCTGTGTCATTAGGAGGCTCGTCGGGATAGATCTTATACACATCTGGTTTCACCACACCTAATAGAGTATAGAGCAGCTTATGATATAGAACTATTGTATATGCTGAAGTGACATTCAGTAAATTCAACAAAAATGGAAAAATCTCATTATATAAAACTTTAGTTTGAAATGAAGTGGTTCAGTGTTAAATGCGCTGTATATATACATACTGTTGATGCCTTCTGTGTTGGCAATCTTGCCAGTGGTGTTTAGGGCATCATAATACTGCTTGTTGCTCATGAGTGTGTACATTCCCAGGATGGCTGTGGGGATACAAGAACCTCATTAGTTAATGACATAAACAATTATTACTTTTGGACTAATCTTATGCGATGCCAGTGTATTAATAAAAACATATTAATAACTATACAAATATAAAAAAACATTTATTAATTTTAATTAATTAATAAATATTAAAATAATAACAACAATAATAATAAATATGAAATTGTCAAAATAATTAATATTAATGCATTTTAATTTAACAAATAAAAGTAATAATTATTCATGTAAATAAATGTATAGATATTTAAATATCTAGAACACAAACTAAATATTATTTTATAATTTATATCAATAATATTACTAATAGTTCAATATAAAAATATCATAATAATGATTATAACGTTGACAAATGTATCATTAATAAATTAATAATTAATGAATAGTTAATACATTTTTGATACTGATAAGTTTCTACTTATACATGTAATATATACAATTAAATTATTAATTATTAAATAATTTATGAATTAATTTAAAATTATATAATAATACATTTTTTATTATTTAATTAATATTATTAAAAATGATAAAATAATAAAACTAATGTTATGTATGTAAATATAATGTTTTTAATTAATCATTGTTTAATTAGTGAGAAATACTTGAAATGCACAAATCACTTAAGCTGCACTGCAGAGAACTGCCTAGATTTGTGTCAGTTAAACTGTAAATTTGCATTTGAACAGCAGGTGGCGCTGACTTACTAGTAAATCCACTATAAACTCCCCCTCCAAGTTTCAATTAACAGTGGCTGGACTGGTGAAAAAATACAGTAGGGCAACAAAAAATAAATTTTGGATTGGAATTGACCAGATCTGACCTTTGTACTACAGTGTGAATTCCATATTCAGACACAATAACCAGATTAAAACCACCAGCACTATTTAGAAATCCATTTAGCTACCCTGCATCTCAGCAAAAGCAGACTCATCCATTAAATCACCAACGGCAAACCCCTATTGACAGTTTAATCCAGAACTGGACGTGTTCCAGAGTTAAAACTGTGTTCTGAATGAGGGGCTCTGCTGGGAAATCTGCAGCCAGTGACACACTCCAAAACTCTACAGCTTTAAATGTCCTTAAGGGCAAAGGCTTGCTATTACGTGCTCAAGGACAATTAGCCTATTGACCGGTTTCCATCACTTTAGTGTGCTAAATCAAGAATAATGTGAATTCTTTGTGTCTCATGTTGCATTTTTAATTGAAGCAGTAAGATAAGTGATTTTTATGTTTGGCTAAATGCTGCCAACACACAATCATAGAGTGTTTCTAGCACACAGACCACTTGCAGCCAACTTAACTCACAAGCACAAACATTTTCACTCCATCTATGCTCATGTTGACTAGTTGGCTGTAGCTCATTTTATTTTGGTGAGCTGCTGAGCTTGGGGAAATAGATACTGTGTGGTATAATTCTGTGCATGACCTACACCGTTCATAGTTCCACATATAAGTTAGCTAGGCTGCTTCTTTTATATATATATTTTAAAAAGTTTTCATATGAGACACTGTACAACGCAAATAAAGCAGATGAAATTAGAAAGGGTTTGATTGACAAATGCTATGCACGAGGTATTGTGATCAGCTGTTTACAATAGCAAACAGAGGATTAGTCCTTAGTCAAGGATCAAAATCTAGATTATAGTCAGAGCCGTTTACAGGACGTTCGTTACAGGTTTAAAGTGAGGATTAGTTGTAAATGAGTTGTAATGCATATCTCTAGAGCACTCTCAACTGGATATCATAAGTTGCTTTATATCATGCGAAAAGAAACAACAGGAACAGAGTAGAAATGTGATGCCCACCTGCAATGTCACACATTTCAGCATCTGTTGCGTTCTTCAGTGCTTCCTCCAGCTCAGGTTCCAGAGTGATCTGTTCCTCCGCAGGGATTTGTCCTGATCCTGGTTTAGGGACAAAGGCCTTTCCTACAGACAGTGGAGGGAAAGAGAAATGTTCACTTTACTCACAGCTATTATACAAAGACAAGAAAGAAACAAATGAACAAATTATACATTTCGAATTAGAAAATTATATATAATGTAATAATTAATGAATCATTTTAAATTCTTTAAAAGTTCAGAATAATGACTTATAAGTGGCAAATCTGCCTTTAGTTGAATATTTCAAAACACATTTGTTTACAAAGGCTTTTCAGATTTTAGATATTAGAAGCGTTATGTTAAAAATAATGCAGTGTTCGTGGTACCTCTCTTCTCCCCTGTAAAGGGCACCCGGTCTTCTCTGTCCTTGTGTTCCATGGCCTGCTTCTCCAGGAAATCCATCAGGGCGAAGCGATCAAAGTGGCCTGTGGGACTTTTCTTGGTCTGGTCACGCTGACGGAACCCGGCTGGAAGCATGGCATTCTGAAAGGTCAAGAAAATCATTATTGTTTAAATGATTTCTGCAATCAGAAATCTCCCATTCACACACACACACACACACACACACATTTGATCGGGTCATCCTTACAAAATCATGTTTTAAACAAAAAACTGTTTTTTTTTTACCAATGGGAAACAAGAGTTACAATGTCAAAACTGCTTTTTCTGTGAAAACAAAATGCATTCTGAGCACTGCCACGTACAGCAGCAATTATGCTTATATATAACACAGCTCTCTGGAATACTTGGTCAATCAGAGCATTCAGCTGTCATATATTTTCAAATATTTGCTGTCGCCCATGGCTATGGTTTATATCAGATCACTGATATAAATATGACTACTTTCATGTCTCTCGCGTCACATCCTGAACTCATTCATACACTGATGCTATCTTGTGTCTCGATTTTAGTGAAAATGGCTTCAGAGGGCCTTTTATTTTGCGATAATGACCGGCTGACTGTACATTATCCCATTATTTTTTGTTTGTGTGTTTTGCATCATACACTTGCCGACTTTGTAAATGGCTACAGATAAAAACTAGCAATATACCCCAAACGACTGACGATCACACACTATCATACTTTGAAGCTGTTCCGAACACTAGAAACTCACACATAAACATGTGCCTCGTTTCTTGGAGATGCATGACAAATGAAAACAATATATCAACTGTCTCAAAACAACTGGATGGAATCATAATCTGAAGCAGGAAAGTTTTAGTCTGTGACCATCATACACTACATGATTTTCTATGAAATTGTGTGAACTCAGATCTGCAGACAGACCAAGTCCACCCAAAAATAAAAAATCACCCCATGATTTACTCACCCTCAAGCCATTCTAGGTGTAAAAGACTTTCTTCTTTCAGATGAATACAATCGGAGTTTTGTTCAAAAATGTCCTGGCTCTTTATAATGTCAGTGAATGGTGGATAAGATTTTGAAGCCCAAAAAAGTGCATCCATCTATCTTAAAAAGTACTTCATATGTGCGTTCACAAGAGAGTGGCGTTCCAGTGGATGATGTAGGATGTAGGACGTAGGCGTAGCGTAAGAGAAGAGAACCAAATAAAACACTGGTCATGAACAAAACAAGGATTTGTAAAGGAAAATGTCGGACGATTTCGATATAAGCCAAAAGCAGGCTAGTTTTCCTTGTAAACAAAACTTCTCGTGAGACTAGCATATTCTCACCGGCGATTACGCTATGCCTACGTCCTACATCATCTGCTGGAACGCCACTCTCTAATGAACACGCGTACGACAGTTAGTTATATAAATTTTGCCGGCAGCCATATCACCCTGTAGCCCAAGACTGGTTACCCACTGAAGCTAAGCAGGGTTGAGCCTGGTCAGTACCTGGATGGGAGACCTCCTGGGAAAACTAGGTTGC